GTAATATTTTTCATATTTCAGGTTTTTTCCTGAGTTCATGTTTGCAATAGAGAAGGTGCATGTACATGTGATGCTTTACTGTGCAGTACACCAATGTGTACTGCTCAGTAAGGTGTCACTATCTAACTGTGCACAGCAGCTGTAAAATAAGCTAATGAAAAGTTTCCTACTACCTGTAAATACAGGTAATAGATTTACTGCACTGTAGCATATATGTTGATGCTGATGGGGAGCAAATTTGCTCCCAGTCAGCCAGGGCAGCAGGGCCCCAGTCTCATGCCTGGGCCAGAGCAACATGGCTGAAAGTCTCTCCAGCTGCATGGTAGAGATGCCTCTTCAGCCAGCCTCCTGTCCACCTGGGGCTAGCTGCCCCCCAGAGGGGGCCACTGCCTGTGTGGCCAGTTGTCAGGCCTCCACACCCCAGGACACTGGAGGCAGCTGGACCATATCACTGCTGCCAGGCTCAGAGCCCAGCAGCTGGGACTGCCTCCTGCACCCCTCTGGTAAGCCCTGAGCAGAGGGGAGGAAGGGGGCACCTCTGCCTGCACTACTTTACCTGTCTGTCCCCAGGTTGCATGTCGGGGGCCCCTTGACATGTTGGCCAGTCAGGGGTGCCCTCTCCCTTTCCCCCAGCCTTACCTGTGAAGCTTCCCTCCTGCCCATCATCATCATCATCCCCTGCCCCCAGCATGCAGGCAGGTGGAAGGCAGTGCAGGAATTTGAGCAGCTGCGTCCTCCTAGCCAGGCAGCCAGGGGCCTGTGGCATGCTGCAGGGGTCAGGGACTTGTGGCATAAGCAGAGGTATCTCTCCAGGCAGCGGCATACATTGCAGGGAAGTGTGGGGCTACCTGGGGCGCCATCAAAGCTCAGGACCTTGCACCAGGTGCTTAGCTGTGCCTGGGGTATCATGGCGATCAGCAACAGCAGGGCATTGTGGGTCAGGGACCCCTCAATGCACTTAAACAGCTTGTCACTCTATGCTGATGGGACTCAGCAGGGGCACATTTGGGCCACAGGCCTTATGTGGTGGGGTCCCTGGCCCCAGGCTGTCTCTGAAGATCGCTGCTGGGGGAGAGTGGAGGTGTTGCCAGCTCTGTGTCCCAGCTGGGACATGCACGTGCACTCAAACACACGTTTACCTGCCTGCAGCTGCTGGGGGCGAGCTGGGGAAGCAGAGGCAGAGCAAAATCCCAGACATTTGCTGATATTTTAAAAAACTGCCTGGATGGAGATGGAAGGATCTAAAAAGAGGACATGCCTGTAAAAACCCACATGTATGGAAACCCTAGCCTGATCTATAGAGAGGGGATGAAGTCAAGCTGCCAGAGCAGCTGCCAGCCCTGGCCCAGCCTGGAGCGGGGCCAGGGAAGGCAAGTAGGGAGCAGGAACAAAGGGCTCGGCCAGCCAACTTACCATGTGCAGCCATGCATGTTTGGCTGATGTTCTCCCTGAAACGTTGCAAACTCTCACAAAGAGTACTCTGGTTCTTGCTCTGCAGGTCCAGCAGCTGGAAGTGGGAGAAAAACAGTAGCTGCCAACACAGATGCTGGGGCAAGGATTCCATCACCACTGGCTGGTGCCCTCTGCATGAGCCACCTCTGCCAGCAGCGTACCCAGGACAGAGCCTTGTTGCTGGACCAGCTGGTCCTTGCAGCAGAGGCCAGTGTTTCATAGTTTCTAGGGTCAGAAGGGACCTGAGTAGATCATCTAGTCCCATTCCCTGCCATGGTAGGAAAGAGTACTGGGGTCAAATGACCCCAGCCAGGTGTTCATCTAACCTCCTCTTAAAGACCCCCAGGGCAGGAGCCAGCACCACTTCTCTT